CTCTCTCACTCACACCTAGGGACAATTTAGAGTTATCAATTAACCTAACAGTCATGTTTTTGGTCTGTGGGAGGAAGCAGGAGTGCCCAGAGAAAACCCATGCATGCACGGAGAGAACGTGCAAACAGAAAAGTCCCCAGGTGGGGATTTGATCCGGCAACCTTCTTGCTGAGAGGCATCAGCTCTACCAACTGAGCCACTGTGRCYCCAAGACAGAAGCTAACCAACAACAAAACTAACATTTAAATACAGTCCTATGCAGAAATCTAGTCCTGATAAATGGTTTACATGGACAGCCCGCCCCTTCCAATATGGCGTCACACGTACCACAGTGGTTAATTTTATGAGACCTGTGTGGTGCCTCCAGTCAATACACCTCRTTGGGTAGTAGCTGAGAGTCATTGTCAACACATATTCTGAGCACCACACACTAAAACACATCACTGGTTAAAACTTTGGCATGAGCTGTTAAAATCAGCCCTGTCTGTGTCCGCAGTGCAACAGYTAACAAGTAAGAAATTTCCTTTGTGACTCTAATCCAGATGTGAAAAATACTCAGATTATATTCCAAACTTTTGAAAACCGTGTGTGAAACTTAGAAAATGTGCAGCACTATCATAAAATGGCATTAGGTAATGAAAGACTTTTTATATCCGCAGGAAGGGCTCTGCAGAGTCAACAGATTACAGGTAGCTGATGTTAACAAGGTAATCTCACCTTTGGCAACTCCCATTCTGATCTGGAGCCATCAACACTGTAGTAATAAGGTCGGCCTTGTTCGTCAACATGTTTTATCCACTGCAAGCACAAACATCGGTCAGTATTTAAAGGAAAATTAAAACAAATCCAACCAACAAACAGACTAACAGCTACACACAGGGTTCCCACACCTTGGTTAACATCAAATTCAAGGATTTTTCAAGGACTTTTCTTGTTCAATTTGCTCAGATTCAAGGACCAGGTGCCACTGCAATTACCTACTGCTAAATATGTTTTAAAGAAACACATTTAATACTATGTAAATTCAATAAAAATAAACTTTAAGGAAACATGTCTTGCTTTTAAAAACTTATTCATATTTAAATCCTTCAGTTGGAGTCTATACAAAGTGCAACTGCAATGCTTTGTTCTGAATTCCTCCTTATTGTAACTCCACAAGCCCCTCTTTCACGTCTTTTCTGAGCTGTGTCTCAGATCAACTCGTTTTGAGGCTGTCTCTTTAAACACAACGAGGCGCTTCACACCCTGACCCCCACCAGCTTCCAGAAGGGTGCATTCTATTTTGATAGAGGGTCTAAAGGGTTTATAATGGTGCAGAAACATTTTATTTACAAATTAATTAAAAGATGTCAACAACAGAAGACTCGTTCATCCAGCCTGACATGTTGGAGCCAGAGTCTGACCCAGAGGAGAATGAAGACCACCAAACTGTAGTTGGTAAGTTCAGACCTTATTTGGCAGTTCCATCGCAAATACTGTGACGTAGTAATTCAGAAAAGTCATTGAAAATATAGAAAACTGAAGGATTTAAAAATATGATCCAAACAGAATATAAAGCTATCTATGCAG